TATATATATATATACTGTACATATCTTTGATTTAACCAGGTAGATCTCCCTTAAATTTAGATTTTTATGGGAGACTTTAGTGTCCCTTAAAAAAGGAGATTTTAATGTCTAAATTTTTTACTGATACATACTGTATTTATATGTTCCAATCAATTAATATGTGATTTATTTATTTTCTATTATAAGTTTTATATCGTGATATATATCGTTACCGCCACCCATCATAATGTATATCATGATATGAATTTTTTGCCATATCACACATTCCTAATTATTACCAGCTTCTCAGTAACATTAGAGTTCAGTACCTTATGTTCACACATAAATTGTTTTCAGATACAGTAAAAATATTTTATCTTTAAGATTATACCATTTAGAGTGAGTTGTAAAAAAGACATTTGTTTAGATTTTAGAGCCTACAGTTTCATTATWACGACTCTCAGTTTACAGACACAGCAGCCAGCTGGCTGTGGCTGCCTGCCCAGAGTTAAACTACAGGCGCACAAAGCTAACAAGTATTTGATGAATGTGACATTTATCTGCCAAYAGGAGTTAATGAGGGCCCAAACTGTGATAGTTTCAGGTACTGTGGTCATCAAAAATAATTCCTTCAATCATTTGCCATCAAACAGTTTAATTTGTCATGTTTAACTACGCTTTCAAAGTAGAAGCCCGAAATATTTTAAAACAATTTGAACTTGCTGAACTTAAGCCTGAGACCATACTAAGACCATATTTTTTCTGTACAGACGTTTGTTGTGACTTGGCATTATGTAAATAAACTGAACTAAATGTTTCCGTATGCTGATGCTGTATAAAAGTTAAAGGTTTTTCTGTTCGTATCCTGATCCATCAACCACATCTTCCATTTGTCACTCTCTTTCTTTGTCTTTCCATTTTAATTATGACAATTAATGGTTCTTACCTGTTTAATCAAATTATCTCCTAATTTTAAACATCCGCAGATTGGGACAAAATTTAATCCAACAACTGGAAACATGTTAAATTACAGTATATTTTTTAGGATGACATGCTGGACAGGCAGGCAATCATGTAATCATCGCTCTCTCTCTCTCTCTCTCTCTCTCTCTGCGTGTGTGTGTGTGTGTGTGTGTGTGTGTGTGTGTGTGTGTGTGTGTGTGTGTGTGTGTGCGTGCATGTTAGTCTGTGTCTCTCTCTGTTTAGTAATGAAATATTTCATGAATCACTGAACTCTTTATTGAAACTCTAAGTTCTCAGTGAAAGCACATTTACAATAGGGTAATTTTTGTTGTCAGCCTGAGTAGAGGCTCAGAAATAACAAACAGAAGAATGGTCATAAACCTGTTAGAAGCTGTAACACATCCTTCAGTACTGAACAGGATCTTTGGCACGTGAGGAAGCAGGCGACAGGTGTTTCTTTAAGGAATGCTACATTCTTTGCAGGTTGAATCAGGAACACCTGGACTTCTTTTTTTGCCTTTTATCTTAGAAGCTCCTCTGATATGATTTTCTTCTATTTGGATTAGAAGCATAATGTTTTTAAAAATTAAAAAAAGTTCACTTGCCCTTTGTTCATCTTACAAAGACATGAAGATTGAAGGCAACACTCATTGCACCGTTTCCAACAAAAAGCAGCATCTACCCTTTTTTAAAATCCTGTTATAGCATTTTATATTATAGTACTTTCTAAATCTTTATCTGTAATACTTTTAGTTAAGAAAAGACCCCCCCCCCCCCATACACACAGTGATTGTAGAAAAACAGATGATGATTCATTTAACAGTGAAAAATTTGGTAATGTTCCTTTTTGACCTGAACATTTTGCATTTTTGTCATAAATCTGTCAGAAAGTGCTGAAGTCGGATGACGTTTCCTGTTCTGTGTTTCAGGCTGGATCGCCATCCTGGGTGCTCTCTGGCTTTTGGTTCTGGCTGACGTCCAGGACTTTGAGATCATCCTGCACCGGGTCGAATGGGCCACGCTCCTGTTCTTTGCTGCACTCTTTGTTTTGATGGAGGTACGTAGTTTATAGATACTGTCATTTTACAGGAAGTCTTTTAATAGTTTTTTCCCCAGCAACATTAGGTTAGCAATCACAGGGAATGAAAACAAGTTCTGCTAATTAGCACTAACATTTAAGACATTATCACAGGCTGTTTTTGTATTTATTTAATATCCTTAAYATGAAGCGCTGCCTCACAACAASAAGGTTGCAGGTTCACCTCCTAGCACTTCTGTGTGGAATTCCCATGTTCTTGTGAGGATTGTCTTTGGGTTTTTTAGCTTCCTCCCACAGACCTAAAACCTGCTGATGTTATATATCCACAAACTGGTCAAAAACTCCAAAGTTCTCATCAGTTAGATTCTACTGTGCAAAAATGTCAGTTTTATCTCCTTTCATGAATTTTTGGCCATTTCATCATATGTACATGCTTCCTGGTACAACAGTCTGCTCTGGAGACGAGTCATTTTTATGTTTGTTTTTTTCTTTTGTTGAAGGAAGTGGCTGAAGCAAAATGCAGCATCTGAGTCCTTCCAGCACAAACAAACACTCCCACAAATGTCTGACCAATCACACAATAAAGTTCTTATRTGGAGGGGGGTAAAAAGTTCGACCCTCGGGTTGCGACAAGAAGGTGCCGAAATATCGACAAAGTGAACAGAATGACATAATTTTTGTCATGAAACTGTGACAGTTTGGCCTGATTTCAACAGTTCAGATGCAGCATGCTGCAGCCTGGAGTGTTTCTTTGTGCTGAAAGGGCTCAGATGCTGCATTTTGCTTCAATACACTGGAATAAAAAACTAAAAATAATGCTTGATATAAAAAATATTGAATAGATACACTAACCACTTGCAAAAAGGAGAACCTATCTAGGATAAACACTCAATTTTTGAAAAAATAAAATAAAATAAAAGAGAAGTAAGATTAGAACTACTGGCAACACAATGGGCCTCATGCAAGAACATGTTCGTATTCTTAATCTAAATTTCTTTTACTTTTGTTCGTACAAAGGGTTCGTACGAACATGTCACGTCAGATTCAACAAACTCTTCTATCTTCAGGAAAAGTGCATAAATGAGCTGCGTAAATTCC